GGTCCCACACACAATAAAATATTCACGCACACTATTCATGTGAGAGAGGTGTATGTACACCCGGTGTACAAACAGTTTTATCCAAGGTAATTATTGACTTGATAAGCTCTATAAAGTTTAATTCTAAGAAGCCAGTAGCTTCTTGTCAAAGTCTCCCTTTCACCAAAGCCCATTGCCCTTCTTTGATCCTTCAGTAAACAATAAACCAATACAGAGAAAGGGGTTGTTTGGCTGAGTTGAAACATGGGAGACAAAACAGTGTCTTATGCAGAATGTCGTAAAATCCATTCAGAAGTATGTGGAAAAAGGGTCAGATGCCAATAGTTCATGGCAAGCCAAATGGAGGATGAATTTGAACGTGCAATTTGTGGTTGCCACAGGAATTTTTTCATATAACGGTTGAGGAATATGCGCCTGTCAAATACATAACCTAAGTGGCTTATACAGTATGTAACAAGAATCAATCCATTTACAGTATGTATTCTTTGGATGGATGCAAATAGTTCTCGGCCAGTGGAGAAGAGGGGACGAATGAGGTGCTTATCTGAGCTGTTTGTGGCTGCCGCAACGGATACCGTGCAATGAGGTGAAGCAAGTGGAGAGAATTATAATTGGATATTTGGATAAAGTGAAGAAAACAACTCATAAGATGGACAATATAGTTCAAAATTCTGAGTGTCTGTGGATGAAGATGCAGAGAAAATAACCTAATATCAATGCTAATATTCTAATAACATTCGAAAACATTTATATGATAACACTGCAGTTCAGAGCAGCATAGTGGAGTGTTAAAAAATCCGACTTATTACAAGACTATTTTCCGAAACCACATTGGCAGGAAAAAAAAAAAAGTTAGTGACAACAGATAAATGATTCTCATAGTAAGCGACATCATTTTTCAGGCATCCTTTGTCTCTGCTTGCTCCACTTGATATTCATTGTCGACATCTTCATCGTCTTCATCCTGATCAGTGTCGTCATTGTCATATAAGTTGCTTCTGAACCTGTTAAGCTCATTTTTAGCATCATCTTCACTCAAAAATTCCAGTCCATATTTGATTTCACGGTGTTTAACCAAGAGCCAGCGAAGCAATCGGTCTTCCTTGTTCAGGTAATGCAGCTCCTTGATCATACTGGGGGGTGTCATAATCGTCATTTGCATCAGTTGGCCCTAAATGATATTTATAGAATTAGTCTATAAAGGGTATGAACTGGTAANGCAGCTCCTTGTTCATACTGGGGGGCGTCATCATCGTCATTTGCATCAGTTGGCCCTAAATGATATTAATAGAATTAGTCTATAAAGGGTATGAACTGGTAACCTTCAGCATCAATTTACAAAGCAGGAAAATCATACAAAACGACTGTGATTGAATCCAAAATCCAGTTTCGAAATCAAACACCCAAAAATAAATAAATAAATAACAGAAAGGGAGTAGATAATATAGAAGAAAAGCAAACCCCTACCCTCCAACATAGTGAAGCAAAGCTGTGAGAATATGCCAAATGAAAACAAAAACAAAATACACAATGAAAAAACAGTGCAATATATCAACTAAAGACATTCTATGATATATAGATATCCTGATCTTCCAATGAAGTAACCTGGCTTTGGCAAATTTAAAGCAAATGCAACATTCAGAAAAATCAGACTTATTAGAGCTTCTATAAACTCCTAATAAGCAAAAGCTTCAGCAACACTAGCTAGCTCTCACATCAACAAAAGGTAAACTCTGGCACAAAAGTCAAAGAATTAGCAGTTAAAGAAATTTATACAATGACTTTAGCACAGGCCCAAGACATTACCTGCTGACAATTAAAATCTCTACAGAAACAAGAGCCAATAATAGATTCTAAAATAAGTTTTCATACCAACTGAAATGAAAGTCAGCCAAGATTTTTTTTCATTACACTTTTTTTTTTTGATAACCGTGAATGTCCGGGCCAGCTTGCGCGCACCTCGACTAATCCCACGGGGTCCTGAAGTTTAAAGCCGAGTACTCACCTCAGTGGCCCTGAGGGAACTCGAACTGGTGACCATTGGGGAGCAAACCCAAAAGATTTTTTTCATTACTGCTAAGCCTTTTGTTTGGATTTCATTTTCTTTTTCTTATATTTACTTTTCAATGATGAGTTTTACAAAATATATGATTAGAATTGATGTTTGACTTTGAAAAGTAAAATTTAACTGAAAGAAAATGAACCTAAACAAAGGCTAAAGAAAGGAAATAATATTTTCCAGCTCAAATTTGTACACCTATCATTTATCAATAGGGTGATGAAGTTTGCCCATTCAAAAGCTACTCTTCCTGGTGAAAGACAATAAACAATAGACAAGAATTGAAAATATAAAGTAAAAAAGCAACCCAATACCAATATATGCCCCCAAAATTAAGATTTGAGTACCTTCGCTAGAACTGAGCTGGCAGGAATACATCATACGAAAAAAGTGGTTATTAGGTTTGTAAGCAGTTTGACAAGAGAAGTCAGTCTAGCTCAAAGAGGTTGAGGGAAGGAGGGGAACAGATTCTTTCTTTAAAGAGAAGGTTGGGGCAAATCCTTTTCATTTATAAAGATAAGTAGTCTTCTTTTGATGATTAAATAAGGCGAGGTATGCACGGGGGGAAGTGGGGACTTGAGCTTGAGACCTTTGAGTTTAAGCTAGACACTTGATCCTTCAACCAAACCCTTGGGGTTACAAATAGAAACTTTTGGTATGGATTACCAAAACGTTTATTTTTTTAATCCTTGAAAATTCCCACCACATCCAGAAAAACTCTGATGGAGACAATCGAAAGATCTACAGTCGATATCTTAAGAGAACTTCAGTTTCAACTGATAATCCAAGAGTTTTTCCTCACACCTCATCCTCAACAGATTTATGTATATATTACTGCCTTTTCTACTGCTTTGTACCTTGTACTTCAGATGGGTTTTGTCTAGGAATTAGGTTGAAAGGGATGCAAGAACTGAAACCGATACTTCACGAGATTCAAAAAGAATTCAACTCTGCCATATTAAAATAATCAATGAAGGACTTCTGCAATTTATTTTATTTAAAACTAAATGTCAAAGTATTTTAAATGCAACACCAGATCACCCAACTTTCTTAATGGATAAAAGACTGTATTGGAAGATACAGCTAAATTCAAACAATTTGCAAATATGTAAAACATGGATATAAAGTAGTAAAAATAACAAAAGTATTTAACACATTATTAATCAGGAAGTAGTAGTCTAATGCAAAGAACCAAAAAGGCCGCATAGAACAAAGTTTAGTACAGGAAATTAATGTGCAGTGATGACGATAAAGCTGTTTACCTGAAAATATTTTCCATCAAGCTTCTTGATACCATAACCCAATTGAACAGTCCCAAAAGACTTTATATCAGCGACCACTCCATTTTTCCTATACACATGTTTTCCAACCCGGGAAACCAATTCCATCAAAGCCTCTTTCGTGACATGGGGCTTTAACAAAAGCATACAGTCGTAAAGAGGCATCTTTTCTCTCTAACTGGCTTCGCTATGTAAGCTGGTCAAATAGTCATTTATAACATTTATCAGTTGTACACTTCTCACCAAAATCAAAATTTATTCAACAAAAAAATATAAATTTCCGGTCATTTCAAAAAGGATTCATTAACTAATCAAATGCAGAAAATTGAAGAACTAACTAGTGAAAAATTATATAATTTTCCTCACTTGATTACCATGTTACTCTCCTTTCACACTGATAATCTCATAATCATATTAGTGGCAAACAATCATGTAGAACTGTATCCAGCTATGTTATGATATGTCAGGGACAAGAATAAAGAAAACAGTTAACATGCCCATTTATCACATAATCAAAACAGGACAGGTTAACCATAACCAAAGTGTCCTTTCACTATTTCAAATAGCCCGGAGGGTAGGAGGGAGGGGGTAGTGAGATGGCTTATTATCTGATGCATGAAAACTGTGAAGCCATTGAATGCAGCAATTAGTCACTGATCCATGGTAATAGTTGCAACAATGGCAAATTAAAGAATTTCAAAACTAAGAAAGCACAGTATTACAATTACAAACAAATCCAGTATATCAACATTAACAAATGCACTACCCAATTTACCCGCAGAAACTCTACATAATTAGCTCTGAATAACATAAACAAATTTGACATTTTCAAAAAAGAAAAAAAATAAAATAAATAACACACCACAACACGATAGTTTTACCTGATTGAATGCAAATAATGTTTTCAAACAGGCCGGATTAGGAAAAAACTAAAAAACTTGAAATTTCAAATTTCTTCTGAGGGTTGGTTCTGAATTAAGCGAGATTTGACATGTGAGGATATGAGAAATGGCAAGAAAGAAAATAGAATAAGAGTTCACTCAGGGTTGAAGTGCACATAGGAGCCCGGCGGCTACTTGGCTGGAAAATGAAAAAGAAGGGTAGAAGACGATGGCCTCCGGATTTGGGCCATCTGGCTGGGCTCTTTCTTTGGTTTTTGAACTTATCAAGTTTTCTTACTGCCCTGTTTGGTTTAAATAAAAATCGGTATTTTAGTTTATTTTAAATTTTTTTTTGATAAGTAATCATGT